TAGGTTTAGAGCAATAGAAGAAAAAAGATATACCATGCTAATTCTAATAAAAAGAAAGCTGGAGTAGGTATATTATTATTATTAGAAAAGGGTATAGATTTTGCCAGGCATAAATAAGATCATTTCATAATGATGAAATTCATCAAAACATAATAAACATTTATCTACCTAGTAAGTAGCTATTAAATACATGAAGCAAAAACTTAATAGAAATGAAAGGATTAACGGTCAAAATCACAGTTCTATTCAGATTTATCAATATCCTCTTTTTAATAATTGATAGAACAAATTAAGAAAACAAGACAAGATTTGAATAACATTCTTAACTAATTTGGCCTAATTTGCATTTATATTATTTATTTATTTATTTATTTATTTTAATTTTAATTTTATTTATTTATTTTTTATTTATTTGCAAGAGAGAGAATGAGAGAGAGCACGAAAGGGAGGAGGGTCAGAGGGAGAAGCAGACTCCCTGCTGAGCAGGGAGCCCGATGTGGGACTCGATCCCGGGACTCCAGGATCATGATCTGAGCCGAAGGCAGTCGCTTAACCAACTGAGCCACCCAGGCGCCCCTAATTTGCATTTATAGACCACTCTGCCCAACAGTAGTAGAATATACATTCTTTTAGTACACTAGGCACATTTACCAAGAGAGACGATATTCTGTGCCATAAAATAAATCTCAATACTTTTAGAAGAATTTAAGTCATACAAGATAGGTTCTCTAATGAAATTAAATGGGAAACCAGTAAAAGAAACATATTTAGAAAATCACTCAATTATTTGGTAACTAAATAACTAATAGGTCAAAGAAGAAATTAGAAGGGAAATTTGGAAGTTCTTTGAACTAAATGAAAACAAAAATAAAACATTTGAAAATTTATAGCACTAAAATGTCTATTTTAGAAAAGAAAAAAGGTCTCAAATCAGTGCCCACAATTTCCCACCTTAAGAAAACAGAAAGAGGAGAACAAATGAATACCAAATTAAGAAGATTGGAAATAAAAAAAGGATAAGAGGAGAAATCAGTGAAATAGAAAACAGAGAAAATACAGAGAAAGTGAGAAGATTGATAAAATTGATAAAGCTGCAGCGAGGTTGATTAGCAGGAAAAAGAGAAGACACCAATTACCAATATCAGGAATGAAATAGGTGACATCACTATGGATTCTACAGGTATTTTTTTTTTTATTATGTTACATTAATTACCATACATTACATCATTAGTTTTTGATGTAGTGTTCCATGATTCATTGTTTGTGTATAACACCCAGTGCTCCATTCAGTACATGCCCTCTTTAATACCCATCACCAGGCTAACCCATCCCCCCACCCCTCTCCCCTCTAGAACCCTCAGTTTGTTTCTCAGAGTCCATAGTCTCTCATGGTTTGTCCCCCCCCACTGATTTCCCCCCCCTTCATTTCTCCCTTCCTACTATCCTCCTCTTCCTTTTTAAAAAACATATAAGGTATTATTTGTTTCAGAGGTACAGGTCTGTGATTCAACAGTCTTACACAATTCACAGCGCTCACAGTAACACATACCCTCCCCAATGTCTATCACCCAGCCACTCCATCCCCCCCACCCCCCACTACTCCAGCAACCCTCAGTTTGTTTCCTGAGATTAAGAATTCCTCATATCAGTAAGATCATATGATACATGTGGATTCTACAGGTATTAAAAGGATAATTAGTGCACATTGTGAAAACCTTTATGCCAATACAACACCTTAGAGAAATGGAAAAATTTGGAAGGCAAAAACTACTAAAGTCTCTCAGACATTGTAAAAATGTTACAAATGTTCTCACAAATAGAACTGTAGGCCAAGAAGACTTCACTGTCAATTCTATCAACTATTTAAGGAAGAAGCAATACCAGTTCTACACAGACTCTTTTAGAAAATTAGAAATGAAGGACTACTTCCTAATTCATGGTGCCTAGCATTACTCTGATTCCAGAACCAGACAGACATTACATGAAAAGAAAATTACAGACTAATATCCCTCATGAACATATATGCATAAATTCTAAACAAAATTTAGCAAATCAAATACAGCAATATATAAAAAGGATAATACAGTATGACTTTTGAAAAATCAATGAATGTAATTACTATATTCAAATTCTAAAAAAGAAAAGTCACCACAATACATGCAGAAAAAGCAGAAGAAAAATTCAACATCCATTCTTGATAAAATCAGCGAACTAAGCATGAAAGGGAATTTCTTCATCCTAATAAAGAGCATCTGTAAAAACCCTACAGGTAACATCATGTTTAATGAAAGACAATGTTCTTTTCCCTGCGAATAGAAACAAGGCAAGGATGTCCCCTCTCACCACTTCTATTCAACATTGTTCTGGTGATTTTTAGAAAATAAAGGACGTTGAGGTTGGAAAGGACAAAGTGAAACTGTTTCTATTAACAGATGATAATGGTTGTCTATATAGAAATTGTGATGGAATCTATTATTAAAAAGCAATTAGAACCAATAAATGAATTTGCAAGGTTGCAGGATACACAATAAATATACAAAACTCAATTGCATTTCTATATACTTGCAATGAATAATTGGACATTGATTAAAAAAAAACAAGCCCACTTGTATACAGTAGCATCAGAAACCTGATATACTTAGGGATGTGTGGGACCTATATACTATAAACTATAAAACACTGCTGGCAAAAATTAAGGAATGACACAATAAATGGAGAGATATACCATGTTCATGGATAAGACAATGTTAAGATGTCCGTTTTCCCCAGATGGGTCTACCAATTCAATGCAATCTCATTCAAAATCTCAGCAGGCTTTTTTTTTTTTTTTTTTGGTAGAAATTGAAAAGCTGATCTGAAATTCAGATAGGACTTCAAAGGACTTAGAATAGCCAAAACAACTTTGAGAGAGAACAAAATTCTCTGTAGTAAGAGGACTTACTACCCAACTCGAAGACTATTTTAAGGCCATAGTAATCATTGATGGTGTGGTATCGGCATAAAGATAAATAGATCGACTCGATGGAATAGAGGATCCAGGAATATATCTACATATATATTGTCAATTTACTTTCAGTGAAGGTGCAAAGGCAATTTGGTGGAAAAAAGGTATTCTTTTCTACAAATGGTGTTGGAGCAATTGGATAATCATAGGGAAAACAATGAACTTCAGTCCATACCTGGCACCATATACAGAAGTGACTCAGAGGGATCATAGATCTAAATGTAAATCTTAAAACTGTAACCCTTGTAGAAGGAACCATAGGAGAAAGTCTTAGTGTTACTGGGCCAGACCATAATTTCTTGGGTAAGATGATCTGTAAAAGAAAAAATTGGTAAATTGGACTTTGTCAAAATCAAGAAATTTTGTTCTTTGAAAGATACTTGTTAAAAAGATGAAAAGACAATCTATAGATGGGGAGAAAATATCTGCAAATTATATAGCTGATAAAGGACTTGTATTCAGCATATATAAAGAACTTGCCAGACTCAACAATAAGTAAACAATCTAATGAAACAATGGGCAACAGACTTGAAGAGACTCTTCACCAAAGAAGATATAAATGGGTGGCAGATAAGTTAATGAAGATGTTCATGTTATTCTTTATTGATTAGGGAAATGTAAATTAAAACAGTAAAGAGATACCACTTTATACTTGTTAGAATGGCTAAAACTGAAAAGATTCCTCATACCGTATTTTGGTGAAAACAAAGGTTTTGTGTTTTGTTTGTTCCTGTGTCTCCCATGCTTGGAATGGTGCCTTCTAAATAAGGGTGTTGAAAGAACGTCGGTTGCCCATTTTCCAAAGCACTGAATGATAAGTGCATGGGATAGATTGAATTTATGCTTAGCATAATTTTATCTTTAACTCTTGATTTTATAAGTATTATAGGCATTATTTTGGGGCACCTGGGTGGCTCGGTTGGTTAAGTGACTGCCTTCAGCTCAGGTCATGGTCCTGGAGTCCTGGGATTGAGTCCCACACTGGGCTCCCTGCTCATCGGGAAGTCTGCTTCTCCCTCTGATCCTCCCCCCTCTCATGCTCTCTCTCTCTCTCTCTCTCATTCTCTCTCAAATAAATAAAAATCTAAAAAAAAAGTATTATAGGCATTATTTTGAAAATCATTTTAAATTTGAGTGTTTTACCTATAAAAGGTATAAGATGTTTGGCCAAACATAATCCCAAAGACACACTTAGTCTTCTTTTTCTAAATCTATTTTTATTATCATCTTAGTAGCTTTTTATTGTAGTTTTGTAAGAGTACAGAATGTGTCAAAAAGGGAAAAGGTAATATGAACTTGCCTGCCTCTCTTACATTTTCCTTCCCACTTAGAATTGCTTGCTTAAACTTCTATGATATAGTGGTTTTTAAAAATCCCAGGAGTTAGCTCTGCCACTGGCTCTGCAACCTTGGCTAAGTTATATAACCAGCCTATTCCTCTGTCTTGTTGGGGAATTCCTATGAGGAGTACATGAGTTTGTGTAATATTGGTAAATCACTCAGAATAGTGCTTGGCACAGAAGGGCTCAATAAATGCTAATTATTACCTTTAGTGTTTTTACTAGGCTTAAGTTAAATGATATTATGCATGTACAATGTCTAGTAGAGTATCTGGCATTTATTAAGTGCTCAGTAAAGGCTAGTGGATCTAATTTAAATATTCAGATGCCAATATGTCTAAAGAGACTGTGTCTTTGGATCTCTGCATTTGTCATATCTTTAGTGACTTTGTTTTAGGATATGAGGAAAAATATTTTTAGTTTCTATATTGGCTTTTCCTAATAGGTACAAGTTACAAAGTTACAGAAACTTGGATGTGTAATTATTTTCTCATTTCTAAGTTTAGGTGATTCGTTAGGGCACTGTCCTCAAGTTTATGTTTATTTTTATTATTAAAAAGTATAGATCTTCGACTAATATCATAATTTAGCATAGTAATTTTTTTTTGATAAGGCCTGTCTCTAATCTTTATTCTTTTTTTTGCTACCTCCTTATAGGCTTGTGGAATCTTGCTTCTCTCTTTTCCAACCTTTGTTTATTTGTGTTGATGCCCTTTGCCTTTTTCTTTCTGGAATCAGAAGGTTTTGCTGGCCTGAAAAAGGTAAGGGAATCATATTTTGGAATTAAACTTGTCCAATTAAGAAGTATATGTCATTCATGTTGAACTAGTAAAAGCAGGCTTGAACCACCATTTGAAATACAAAAGTTTAATTAGTAATAATAACATCTTATTAATATTAATCATGTTGACAGTAATATTAATAATAGTGCATATTGAATGATTTTGTGTGCCCACAGAGAGGAAGTCATCTTTTGACCTTTGAATATTTACTTGGTGGAATGTTTGTAGAGAATAAAGCTGATAAAATAGCCGTTCTTCCTTTCCTAGGCTCTCTCGCATTTAGTTTAAAGCATGACATGAAATTCTCAAAATATTAAAACATATCTTGATGTAAAAGTTATTTTGTATCTAGTATTTTCAGAAGAGTAGCATTTTATAAAATCAAATATGCCCTGTGGATAGTCAAATCCTCAAGATACTGTGAGTTACTGATCTTAGTGAATGTGGGAGGTTAGAAGTAAGCAAAACAGGAGACTTTGCAAGGGCATCTTAAACAGTCAGTCCAGACTGTATCAGTGGTAATAACTTCCATCTGTCTTTGAATATAACATTTTAAAGTGAAACGAACAGTGTTTCTGTTTATAGCTTGTGGAGGTCTTTGCTATAAACATTTGGAATATAATACAAAGATTTAAGTAGTTAATACTTTTTGGCAAAAAAAGTCTTTATAGACACATTACACCTTTTTAGTTGTTAGTTCTATTCGTATTGTGATACATAAAGTTGAAAGTATGCCTATGCATCTTATTGTTGAATATATACTATAACGCTGATTCCATAAATTTGGCAAGGGAAGCCATAAACTGAATTTTTATGACTTTTTATTTCATATAACTTTTTGTAGGTACTTAGGAATGAAATTGTTTATCTCACATTTTGACAAGTCTTCTGATTTTAAACCTTAAGTGCAGCACTTTTTAGGTCTGTGTGTTGAAGGATGCCGGGAAAGAGTCACTGAGAGGTGATAAAGTGTTTAGTGGATGCACCTTTTTGCTTTCTAGATATTATTCCATACTTGCATAGTTTGAAGCTGAAAACTCAGAGTTGATTTCATATATAGTAAATGTACTGAGATCAGAATGGATGGTTGTATTTGGTAGTCAACCTGACATTGAGAAAATTGGCTTTGATATATTGGAATTGTTTTTTATCATGATGTATTTGAATTATTTAAGTCATCTATATAATGTGAAAGAATTGTGTAGTTTCAGTTTAAAAAGTTCTTTGAATGTTTATGACTTCTTGAAGAAATTTTAGGAGTTTTGCTGAATGAGATTTGGTACAAACCTTCCTTTTATAAGGAGAAAACTGAGGTCCAAATATATTAAATATTATTAAATTATCTAAGGGCCATATATGTACAATTCCAAAACTGGTACTAAAACCTAGGGTCACTTTTAACCATCCCAAAGTGGTTGTGATCTTCACATGTCAACACTATGGAGTTTACTGAGGCCACCTAAGTGGATGAGGTGGCCAAGGACAAATGAGGCTGGAGCAGAAAAGAGGACTATATGGCCTGCTGGCAGAGGAAGGAAGCAAAGGAGACTGCTGAGCAGGTCCTGCCAGAAAGCAGGGGAGCAAAAGGAGTGTGGTTTTCTGGGAGCCAGAAGACAGAGTTTCTAGAAGAATGGAATGTAAAATATTGTGTTAAAGAGGGCTGGAAAGAACATCAAGAAGAAGTGAGAGCATAGGAGACACTTGAGAAAGCGATTTCTGTATAATTTTAGAGCCATAGCTTTTGATGGATATTCATTCATTCAACAGAGTTTTACTAAGCACCTACTAAGAAGTAATTATTATGCTACTATAGGACCTTGCTGGGGACAGAAATGAAAAGGCAGGGCTTCTGCCTTCCAGGGATAGACAGAAGGAGAAAGAAGAGGTGCAATCCAATAGGATGCAGTGTGATGAACTTTCATACAGCCAGCTGTGATGGGAGGCACTACAGGGAGTGAAGATCTTGATTTGCCTAGGGAATTGGGGAAAGGCATGGATTCTGACTGGATTGAGGGAATGGCTGACACTTAGCTATAGAACGGAGAATTGGTGAGAGATCAGGGTACATGGAATCTTGTTGGGGTCACATCCTGGAGGCCTTGAATGCTCTGCCAGTTAGTTTGGATTTTGTGCTATAGATAATGGAGTTGGCAAAAGATTTTTGAAAAAGATTTTTGCATCTACTGTTTTATTTAAGTATAGAGATAAATACACATGTCAGAGTTCAAACATATGTCACTAAGGGGAGGAGTACATGTAGAGATATCACCATACTGAATCAGTCACACACCTAGTCCTGTTAAACAGTGTTGCAACATATGTCCCCAACATTGTTGTGTTGATGTTTGCTTTAAATATGCAGATTGTTCTTTTGTCCTATCTCTGCCTTGTGTGTAATCTTACCAAGTACAAAAACAATTGGTAAAGCTCAGTGTTAAGTGTATTTTCATATTTGGTAGTATACGTGTCTCTACCTAATTTATACTCTTTATAAAATTCTAGTTTTTAGTTAAATAGGTTATTTTAAAAAACAGTGTGTAATGTGGACAGACCTCTTGTCTCCAAATTGTTTTCCTCCCTTGTTGTGAACTAACCAGCTAGAAGAGGGAGTTGGCTACATTTATTGGAGCAGAACTACCATCTCTAGAATAAAAAAAAAAAAAACTGACAAAAACCCCAGTGACATGTCACTGTTCTCTTGTTCTCCCTTGTAGACTAAGGTCCAAGGGGAGAAGCAGCTTGAGGAAGGACACAGGAAGGTACTTGAAGATATTTCATACCTACCACTGTACAGCATTCTTTCCTCTTAAGTTTTTTACGTCTAGTCTCTCTATACGCACTTAAAAGAATATTCTTTTCTAAGCACATCTTTGACTATGTTAGTCTCCTCAGAATCCCTCAAGATGACCAGCTCCATTTCGTGATCTCAGAGGGGACTGATGTGTTGGCTGACTGTAGGGTACAGTCGACATGACCAGTCCAGGTGATTCCCCAACTCAGCAAAGGATCTAAAGGAGGGCAAGGAGACAGAGCTCAGAATGGTTGGTTACCATTTGTCCAACTTGCGTCTCTGGACAATGATTGGGCGTTGTAGGAACCAAATGAAAGAACTTGGTCTTTAAAACTATTAGGAGAGGGAAGGGAAGGGAAAATGGGGCTGTAGCCTGGAGGCAGAAGAGGCAGAATGATTCTGCTCTTTCTGCACCGAGGGGCCTGTGGCAGAGAGATGGAGGGTGAGGGTGCTAAGGTCAGAAAATTTGCCCTTTGAGTCTCACAGCCTGGGCTAGTTTTTTCATCTGGACCTCAGGTTCTCTTTCTGTAAAATGAGTATGGTAATGATTGTTACCTTACTGTATTATTTAAGGATTAAATGAGAGGAGATTATTTATGTAAAACACATAGCCCAGGATATGTTAGCTATTAGTGCCATCATGCTAGAGCTTAATGCATTTCACCAATAAATGTTCTGTGGGATCATCAGAAAGCAACTGAATACAGTACAGTCAGTTCTTCATTATTCACATATTATCTTGGGCAATTTTAAAGTTACAAATTATTTTTCCCATTTTGAAATGACATGGACTGAAGCAAAATCAAACCGGCTTGAAGATAAGGTGCATTCTAGACCCTATTAGAATTGTTTGGAAAGCTTTAAAATTAAGGTAATTGTGACATATTATTTTAAATACTCATATTTTTCAGTTTTAAAATCAATTATGTGAAAGTTGCAAGGGTTATTAGCATTGCATGGTTAAGTCTTAAATGTGTAAAGTATATGTTTAAGCCTTTCATTGTTACACCTTTCTCTAATATACGATCCTAGGAGTTGACTTGTGCAGGTTTTACACAGTGTTTGTTAAGATCTGTCGTTCTTTACAGTGTTGTAGACCGTACCCCAGACTTGTACAGCTGCCTCACTGAAGCGAATGTATCACAGACAGTCATTGACTTTTAACACAGCTGGCTAGCAAGGATATTCCTTTGTGTATATCCTTTAAAGCTTTTTGCTCATTGGCATTAGACACATCTAGTCTGAAGGGATATTGAAGAGGGCTTAGAAAACACTTCTAATTGGTAGATTCAGCACAATGATGTGAGTAATGACAAACTTGAAATATGGTTAAGTTAAATTTCTTTTTTATTCCTTTGGCCACCCTCCTGGTGCTGTTTTACTATGTCTCAGTCTGGTGGAGTCCCTAAAGGGCATATGGCTCCACCATACTCCCATTGATTCCCCTGGGCAATCGATTTTAAAACAGCCCCTTGCATATTGTGCCGAGACGCGGAAATTGGCCACTAGCCACGGGCGGATGCAGAGCTTGAATTGAAAATCAAATTAAGCAGAATTCTCTACTTAGTTTTTAATTAAACCACTATGTTAATTCAAACAGGACATTTTAGGCCTGGGGGGTTGACCATGCCCTTTTAAGGGCCTTAAATAAGCCTTTCTTCTCTCTCCTTACCATGGTGCATGTTTCTATTTTATTAGGACCATCTCCTCACTATTCCCATTCTTTATATTCTCAAGGGTGGAGAATGTAAATGGTTTTGATAAAGCAAAACATTTTTTTAGTAAGAAGGTAACTTTTATCTTAGAACTCTAACATTGTTAGCACTTAAATGTTTATCAAATTTATATTATTAATCACCTCTATGTATCGTGTCAAGCATTTTATATGTTCATGTGTGTTTGAACCTGATCCCATGCTTGCATCTTAATGTTTGTTTCAATTCTGATAAAACGCTTGCATCTGCTGAATGTTGTGTGTTGTGGTGGAGATCTTTCTCCGCAGTTTTGTCTTGGTCACTCAGTCATATACCAGAGTACAAGGGTATTAGGGCCAACAGCACTGCTGTTCCTGTCACACCTCAGATCAGCTGTGTGGTTTTCTCTTCCCATTCTGCCTCAGACAGATCTCTAGGTTATGTGGGATGATGTCAGAAGATGTTTGCTGATTGCATCGTGAACTCTGAAGGTC